TCTCTGTTTGGAAAGATGTATGCCTTTGGGCGAACCCTTGATTTTCCTCCTCAGGTTCTCGATCCTTATGACAACAAGTGGAGGAGCACTAGTATTACTTTGCCCACAATTCTCGTTGGTTGTCGAGTTTCGATTCCAGTGGTTCCTGATCCTAACAACCGTAGGATTCTGCTCCACTTGTTCGATGGTCTTCTTGGGACTCCGTCTCTTTATGCTTTTTACCCAGAAGGTCGTCCTGATGGCGGATCATCATGGGAGTGTCTCACGACGTTTTTCGACAGTTGGAATGAGGCTGTCACGGTAGAGAAGGGGGTACTGTACACAACTGTTTATGAAAATAAACGCTTTGAACTTTGCGCTTACAATTTGGTGAGCCAACAATTGCTGGATTTTAAATGGTCCTCCCAGCTTTTGAATGTGGATATCACTACTATTGAGTTTGATGCCTTTCTCAACTTGGGCAATGGGATGCTCTGCCTTGCTGTTTTCTCACCTGATTTCCATGCACACCCCATTGTCACTCAAGTTTTCTTCTTCAAGTTCAGAGTCAAGCGGCTCACTAGTGCTTCTGTCATTTGTGCCTCTGACCTCTCTACGCACTCCTTTACGCTTCCATCTGCTCGAAAAGTTGTCGATTTCGTCCCGCTTTAGGTAAAATAAAATGAAACTCTACTATTGCATCTGAGGAGGACCTGTGCATGATGATCTATTCACCTCTTGCTATGTTGTTTATAACTTTTACTATTGTTTCTTGTTATGTGATCGAGGTGCTATTAGTATTAGGATGAAGAGTAAGGCACCCAAGTAGCAATTCAAACAACTACTCTAGGTCTGCATTGCAGTCGCCTCCCCTTTTTCACCTTAAGTAAATCTTTTGTTTCTTGTAATCGGATATCCCAAATACACACTTTCAGAAAAGAAGTAAAGATAATATGCTAGATGAGCTTTTTAGGTGGAAGAGCAATTTCTGGTGACTTAATGTAAAGAGCAGGGAGTTTAATGATCTTTTAGCAAGAGGTTGTGCATCTTGATTTAAAGTTCATACTCAAGCTTAATGGTCAATGGTGATAATGTGTGGCATGTCACTTAAATAATTAGCTTCTAATTGATTGGAAGAAAATATTTTCTAGCTGAATTGGACAAATAGGATAAATTCAGAACCGAATTTGTGTATTATTTCATAGTTGTGATACTTCAAAAGATGAGTGGAAATTAGAGGTTAACAGAAATGCTAAACGGCTTTCTGTCCGTAATACAATAATAATGACCAGGAAAACCAAAATAATAATAATATAAAAAAAAAAAATCATTCGCTTATTCATACGCTTCCGATGACGAATTCCTCGAAGAACCACTTCTTTATCCATATGATTTCGAGAGTTCTGATCAATTGATTTTAAGATCAAATGTCTAGTCACTGGCGCTGATGATGATTCTTTCTTATTCTCATCTTCAACTAATTGTTTTTGAGATAACCACTTGTGAATAACAATGAAGAACACATTGAAGAATACTTTGAATTTCCTTTTTTATTATATTTTTTTAACATTTTTTCCAGATTTAATATAAACCATTGATTTTAAGGAACTTGGACTGTTGATGACGAAGGGACTAACTCGAACAAAAAAAAACTAAGATACATGACCAATTTGAAACTTTTAAAAGATATGGGACAAAAGTGAAACTTGAGGTAAAGATGCGGGACCTCACCTAAAGGGGTATTTAACCTAGAAATATTTAAAATTTGTTATCTGAATTTGTGTTCCATCCTCTAATTCTTTTTTATTTTTATTTTTTTGAAATCATTTAAAAAAAAAAATGTTTTATAGTAGTTTTTAAAATTAAAAACAAAAATTGGTTCAAACAAGGCTTTTGTGTTTTGTTTTTTTCTTTTCTCTACCAGTACCATCATCAATTAGATAGGCGAAAGTATTTTCTGAGAGCCATGCGTTGGGTACCACATGTAAAGTGTTGCACCCATGAAGCATTGAAAGTTTACCATTCATGTTTTCTCTCATTTTTTATTGGTACTCTAAATAACAATCTCGAAAAGAAAAGAAAAAAATAAGAGATTTTATATGTATTCAGGAGTGACAGTATCAGTTTTAGAGTGCTAAGAGTTTGTAACTGAAATGATATAAGGGGAGAGATAATATGAAGCTTAACTTTATTTTTGATTTAGTACACTATATCCTCCATAAGAGGCAACTTTGTGCCAAAACAACCTTGTGCTAGTTGATCCATGTACTTGGTGATATTCTACCTAAGCAGTTACTTTTGAAGAAGACAAAGTACTATTTCCTAAATACAAGCTAAATGTAAAAAAATTCTTCAAATTGAACTGCATTTTTTTTTTTTTTATCTCAACCTTCGTGTAAGTATTTGATCATTGTGATTGAAACTTCAACAATACAATATACTAGTTGATCAAAAAATAAACATAAAAATACAAGATACTATATGGTTATCATTTTCTTAATTTTCTTATATCAACAATCAACGTTCAAGGCAACATGCTTTATGGCAACATGGGGGAATTCTATTGATAGGGACAAAAAACAACTAAAAATGTCATCATAGCCTCATACTTTTACTATGGCCGCCTTGTTAGACAAGTGGCCGGAAAAACTCTAGAGGGGTGAATAGAATTTTTGAAATTTTTCGCAACAATTGATTTTTAGTAAAGTTTTTTTTTCCCCTCTAGATAGTTTTGAAATGGAAACAAAGATAAAACTTATGCACAATTAATGAACAGATAGTAACAATTAAATCGAATTGAAAGAGTTTAAGGATAGAAAGATTAACACTAAGGATTTATTCTGGTTTGGCCCCTCTGACCTACGTCCAGTCCCCAAGTACCTCACTTGAGATTTTTCACTATTTTCAAGCTTAAACAGGTGCTTGAAAAACTTTTACACACTAAGCGCACTCACTACACACTTAGATACCTCACTAATGTGTAGAAGCCTCAAAAACTAATTAGAGATATCTCGCTCTAATCACTCACACTTGGATACCTCACCAAGTGACACTTGAATACCCCACCAAGTGATTTTCAGAGAGATACCTCACTCTCTGCTTCAAGGGATACTCACCCTTGGAACAATCATAAAATAAAATTTGATTGTGTTTGAGAGACTAAATTAAGTCACTCAAAAAATTTTCTAAGACCTAGTTAATAGAGCAAGTGATTGAATGTATGAGTGGTTAAGTGTGTGAGAAGATTTGTGATGATTGAAGTTTAAGAGTTGAAATTTTAAGTTGAAGAGTTTGGGAGTTGGAGTTTTGATAATTGTAAAATTGATTGAGAGAGTAGTTGAATGTTTAATGAGATTGAGTGGGATAGTATAGCAATTGTGATGACAGTTTTTCGGAAGTTTGCAAGTTGGTAGTTGAGGGTTATTTATAATGTCATTAATGAGACCGTTGAAATGGCTAAGTTTTGAAAAGTTTCGTGACAATATTCGAATACACCTTCGAAGGTATCTTCGAAGTGCTCTTCGAAGTTGGCTTCGAAGAAGTAAAGTGATTTCAGAAAAATTTAGGTTGCTTCGAAGCCAGTTTCGAAGGGAGCTTCGAAGAGTGGTTTGAAGGGTGCTAAACAAAAAGAAATTGGTTGAATTTCATCCGAAGATGTCATCGAAGTGTCCTTCGAAGCTATTAGTGTTTTTCAAAAATTGATTCTATCATCGAAGATTACTTCGAAGACAAGTTCGAACATGGTTTCGAAGTAGATTAAAGAACTTTGAAAATTTTTAAATATGTGAAGTTTCTTCGAAAACGTATTCGATGGTATCTTTAAAGATGGCTTCGAAGAGCCAAGACAATAACGAAATTCTTTGAATTTCATTCGAAGGTATCTTCGAAGTTAGTGTTTTGAAATTCCTTTTGAGTTTGAAAAATGAGACAGCTTCGAAGTTATTTTCGAATATATCTTCGAAGGCTTCTTCGAAGAACTATCATTTCAGAAAGATTTAATTGAGCATTTTTTTTCATGGATCTTCGAAGTGTGTTTCGAAGTCTTCTTCGAAGACTTATTCGAAGGCTTATTCGAATACATTACGAAAATTTTGTGAAAGAGATAAAAAAAAATTTTGAGTTATTGTTTGAATGCAGAACTTTGTTTTTGAAAAAGTTCTGGTTTATGCAGTAAAACTTATTTTTTTTATGCATGCAAAAACTTAATCACTTGCTCTATGACTAAGTCCCTATTCCTAAGCTACGACATGAGAGTCACAATCATTATTGTTCATAGTACAAACATTTAAGTTACAGTTACAATATAAATGAATGGGAAATAATTGAAGTTGATGAAGGTTTATTGTTTTTGATATGCTTCAATGTGTGTTGCGACCATTGGCGTCATCAAAACTTGTTTCTTGTACGCTTATGTTCAAGTCAATGTCGGAGTTGCGTTTACATACTCCTTCTTTTTGATGATGACAATGCAGTTGAGCATTCCAACATACAAACATCAAAAACAAAGAGTTAAATAAGTTTGTTATTGAGTTATGAACAAAACGACAACTGAGATTGAGAAATTTGTTTGAAAACCTTTGATCAGATTTTTTATAAGAAACTCCCCCTGAGTGAATTATTTTTGTGAAGGGAGCATAGTTTGAATTTTTTTTTTTAGATTTTGAAAATTTGAAGAATTTATCATATATATCAACCAAGCAGAATCTAACTATAGCAGGATTAATGTCACGAGAATTAAATGTGTTCAATAATCAATATACACATAAAATAGACATGAACCAATTAAATAAGAAAAAAAAAAGAAAAAAGCAAAGGAGCAAAGTGAGTGATCTTCTTGCTTTCTCTGGGTTCATGCCAATTTTGATGTTGAAGTTTGAAGGCTAGTTTTCTACTCTCCCTTTGGCATCATCAAAAAAATAGAGAAGAGTGATGCAAATATCTGGGGTCAGTTATAAGCAAGAGGAAATCTAAGAAAGAAAATTAGAAACATCCTGATCATCAAATTGAAGATTTTCGAGTGAATGTTGCTGATGTGGTTGGACTGGCTGTTGAATGGGTTGCTCCATTTCAGGCTGAGACGGCTCCATGGCAGGCCGAGGCTGATCTGGTTGAGGATTTTCCTGTTCAGCAAAGTTAGTGCCCAATAAATCAAAAAAATCAATACCTGGCCCAATTTTTGTATCCACATGGGCCTTGAGCTCAGCAATTTTGGTATCAATATTCTCCTTCACCGCTTTAACAGCGTTGTGAATCTTAGCATTCATTGAAGCCAGGTGTTGCTCCAGTAGAGCCTTCACCGACTACAGTATGCCAGACTCAGAGTTTGAAGCTTCGGGAACATCAATGGATGGAGCAGTAGATGCAGAGGAAGGAATTTCATCAAGAAATCCTTTCTCAACTATAGAGAAAGCTGGGTGATGACCAATTTTTGGAACAATTCATTGACCGTTCACAAATTTGATATGGGCTTTGTTCAGAAATTGTGTTCTTATGATATGGTGCTAAGCATCGGTATTGTTGCTTGCTTCACCAATCAATGGAACTTTTAAGTCCTGGAGAATGCGAGTGATCAAAATGGCGTAGGGGAGAGCGTTGTCATGGGCATTTTTACATACAATCATATGGCTTTGTATGTAAGATTACTAGTTTATGGCTTTTCCAGAATTTAAAGCCCAGAGCACCACTGAGTCCTGAGGTGCAAGCTGGGTATATGGCCCACTGTGGGGAATGATAACTTTGGAGAGGATGATGTGAATGATCCTATTGTTGATGGTCAAGTAACTAGTAGGAGGTCTACTTTCTCCAATTCTGGGAGCTCCCTGATGGTAGAGTAACTTCCTAGTGATTTCTTGATCATAAAGACCAGATCAGGTTGCAGGAATTGCAGTAGTTCCAAAGTATTTTTCTCCGTCCCAGTTGAGCCCAGTGAGCCTAGACCACTGTTTTGGTCCAAGCTTAATTTGAATTCCCTTGACCATAGCAGTAATGGTTTGTGTTTCTTCGTTGACGGTCAAAGTACTTTAGAACGCACGAACGAGTTCAGGATATATCGGAAGATGTAAAGAGATGAAGGGAAGTAGCTCTTGGATAAGGTCAGGGAATGTGAAGTTATTGTTGACAAATGTTTCTGTTTGAAGCCAGAATGACTTCAGGACACTAATATTGAAGAAGTGGTCCAGAAAGTGTGCTTCTTCTTCTGGTGAGTTAAACCATGAGACCAAGGTTCCAGGAAGAGGCTTGGGATTATTTTGACGGAGGGTAACATCATTATCCTGATTGGAGGGATTGGCTTTCAGTTTCTTAGTAGGTGGGAAAGGTGCAGAGGGAGGAGGAAGTGAGGAACGGATCTTTTGGTGGCTTGTGTTTGAGGCTAACTTTTTCATATGATTTGAGATGATGATGATGTTTGGCAAGGTCTGGAGGTTTTGGTTTGATGAGATTGAGGTTGAGAATGGTTAGGTCTTGAGGTTCGAGTTTGTTGAGGATGGGATTGTGAATGGGAAGGTTGAAGTGGTAGAGGTTGTGTTTCAATGGCTTCGGGTTCGTAGTTGGGATCAGAAGTATGTTCAGAAGATGGTAAAGAAGGTGGAGAGTTTGAGAGAATTAGTTTTCTGGGTGGCTGATTTGAGGCCATGGTGATGAGAGAAGCTTGTGAGAGTGAGAAGGTTCAGAGAGAATTTTGGCAGGGTGAGGGCACAAGAGTGAAAAAGTGAGAGGCGTGTGAGGACACTGGTATTTATAAGTTTTTGTTCCAGCTTCGAAGATATCTTCGAAGATGTTTTCGGAGTTGTCTACGAAAAGTGCGTCAAAAAGCTCTTCAAGGTTTCTTCTTTTGAACGTATCATTGTTGAACTTCGAACATATCTTCGAACAGTACTTAGAAGTCGTCTTCGAATGTAATTGTGATTTTTCTTTGCTGTTGAGGGTCTTCGAACAATGTTTCAAAGTGTGCTTCGAATATTGCTTCGAAGGGAATTTTGAACATTGCTTTGAATATCCATATGTCCTTTGATTTGTTACTATTGTCTCTTCGATTAACTCTTCGATGTTGGCTTCGAAGCAGCCTTCGAACATGTCTTCGATATTATCTTCGAATGTGATTTAATATTTTCCTTTCTGTTTCATTGCTTCGAAGAGTGCTTCGAATATGCCTTCGAAGAGGCCTTCGAATAGACTAGTTTCCAACGAAATTTTTCAGTTATTTTGAATTTCTTGAACGAGAACCTGCAAAATAGAGTAGACTTCTCCGACGCTCAAAACTGAAAAATCAAACATTTCTAAACACAATTTTTTTTTATCTGTGTTTGTTATTTAGAATTACGAACGGGAACTAAATGTTTATTAATCCCGTGTCCTTTTAACTTGCAGACTGATGCCTTCTTCAAAACAAGTGTATCGAATGTATATGATGTGGGTGACGTTGCTACATTCCCCTTGAAGTTGTTCAACGAGATCCGAAGAGTTGAACATGTCGATCATGCACGGAAATCAGCTGAACAGGCCGTTAAGGTATTTTTTTATGCCTTCACATATTTACAAATTTCTCTTTTCTGGGACTGTACGAGTTATCTAAAACTCAAATGTAAATGTTGATCGATGACTCCAATTACTAAAATTGAATATTAACTTAATGCACGTAATTTTCCAGGCAATTTTCGCCAGCGAACAAAAAACATCCATCGACGAGTATACTACCTCCCGTACTTCTATTCCCGAGCGTTTGACCTGTCATGGCAGTTCTATGGTGACAATGTAGGGGACACCGTTCTATTTGGAGATAACGACCCGGCATCTTCTAGCCACAAGTTCGGGACTTATTGGATCAAAGACGGTAAGGTTGTCGGTGCTTTTCTCGAGAGTGGCACTCCCGAAGAAAACAAGGCTATAGCGAAAGTTGCACGGGCCCAACCCCACAGTCGACAGTTTGTATCAGCTAGCTAAGGAGGGTCTTGCCTTTGCTAGCAAGGTCTGATTAAATTCCTCATGAGTGTTGATGTTTGAATTTGAACTGTATCTGTTTTACATGTGTGTGTGTGTGTGTGTGTGTGTGTTTTGTGTGTGTGTTTTACATGTGTGTGTGTGCTATTTAGACACGAATGTGCTATGAGCTATTTGGCTAATATTAAAGCATATATACGTGTGAGTATAAAATCTATTGAGTCGTCTCAAAATCCATTCTGCAGTCGCTTTTTTGCTGGCATTTTGGTCCTCTTTTGTTATATTGTGTGCTCTTATCCACGTATATATTATATTAAAATGGTAAAAATTGGAAGAATGCAAAGATTTTGTGCTTTATTTATGATCACTTTTCAACTACCCTTCAGAATTATGTCTGACCAAGTGGGACTATAGTCCAACTATTGCCACCGTCATGGTGAAAACTAAGAACACGCGTAGTGTGAAAACCGAAAAGCCCGGCATATTCTAGAATTTGACTAGTTTTCTTGATAATATTGCTCTTAAAAAAAAAAAAAGAAAAAAGAAAAATTGAATGAAGTTGTTGTGAATAATTCATTTTTTTTTTCTTACAAAAAATAATTGTGAAAGGTAGCTAAACGGTTAGACGGGATGTTTCTTTCGGGAAATGCTACGGTCTCGTTACGGAATTATTCCGTCGTGGTTTGTAACCGTTAAATCATCATATAACTGTCGGAATAGATGATCTAACGGTTACAAATCCCAACGGAATGATTCTGTAACGAGACTGTAATATCTCCCGTTTCTTTATATTTTTTGAATAAAAATGCAATTATACGGTGAAATTTCATATATACTAAAAAGGCACTATTTTTTTATTAGACATTCTAGTGTCTTCTGTTTGGTATGTGATTGTTAAGCAACTTACTTTGTTGATAATTTAATACTGACGGTTGATACATGTTAATATGCACACATTGGTGATGTATTTTTTTGAACATATTAACATCACCAATGTGTGCATGCCACATAAACGGTAGTCATATTAACATGTGGTTACCGTGAGTAGGGGAGCATTACTTCTTACTTTGTTGTCCTAGTTTTTGTTTGGTAGGGGTGTATCGGCAAGCAACTAAATGTGAGTGTTATATACATAATAAATGTACACATAGTTGTGCATAACACTCACATGGAGTAGAGTTCACTTGATTTTTTAATTTTAATAGGTCTCACTAAACGTGAGTGTTATGTACACTCCTATGTATAATATTACGTATTTCAAATAAGAAACATGTAGGCTCCCAAGAAAAAAAAAATTTGAAGTATAAATAGTTAAATCAAGAACTTAATAGAACTAGATTTTAGATGGTAACATCACAGGGACAAGTGTGTAGGAGAAATTATTGCAATAAGGATGGATAATTTAATTTTGAGCTACCACATAATAATATATATTTTTCAGTGTCACAGCTGGCATTTGTTTTATTTGGAGGGAAAAAGAGGACTAGTGAAACGTATATTTTTAATTCGAGTGCGCAAAACGATGTAAGAACGTGGTAAACAATCGTAAATAGCGGAAGCAATAAACCGAAGATGTAAAAACTCTTCAGGGAAGCGTCCCACTTCCCCTCAGAGCTCTTTCATTGATAAACCGTTCACACTTGTATAGTTTTGACTTACACGACTCGAACTCCCTTCTAGTCTAGCCACAACTACACACGATCCTATCAATTACTTCTCCGGCCACGTCCCGTGGACTTCTAACTCTCGAATCCCTTGAGCTAACCACTGTACTTAATCCCTAAGTATTGATCACAAAAGTGTTTGAATGAAATAAAAAGAAACAAACTAAACAGCTTCAGTTCTTGGATACGTAAGAACCTTGAACTGAACTGTGAACAAAATAATACTAAAAAGGCT